GAGAAGGGTTAAAAAATCAGTATCCAGCACAGAAGCCTATTTTTAAGTTGTGTTTTTCTGCCGCGTCTCTGTTTGTTTCTGCTTTCTGATTCTGGGCGAAATATTTTGGGAAATTTCTGTGATTTAGTGAAACATCTGCGCACAAATAAACCCGATTCGTCACCAGACTCCTCGCGTTGTTATTCAAGAGAAACTCGGATGTTTGTGGGGAAAAGAAGATTGACACACATTTGGAAAAATTAATTGATATTCCTTTATATTTTTTTGTCCATTGCAGTCACAACATTACAACGTAATAAAATGCTAAATATATAAAATCAAACTCAGTACTGACAGGATACGTTTCTGTATCGTCTTCAAAACCAAATCAGCTGTACATGTTTTCATTTATATTCTAAAATCTGTCATTGTTCCTGTGTAGTCATCTGTATACTGTAAATCTTTGTCTCTTCACAGATAAATAGACTTTATTTTTAGGCGGTATTGTAACAAAAATAATAACATTTCCTAATGCTGGCCACTCGGAGCCATTGAAAATATTATTCAGCTCTTCCCCAGAATTCCTTAAACTATCATAGACAAAAATACACAGACTAACCGGAGATGCACAATGTGTCTTTTTCTCCTGCTTTTTGTGTGATCGGTCAGAAATATTTGGTGTAAATTAGAAAACCCCAATCCCACCCCCGCCCTCCCGAAAAGGAAAAAAAAAAAAAGACCCCAAAATATAGAAGATTCCTGAATGGTGCTTGGATGTGCTGATGCAGGAGCGGTACGAATGCAGCCGACGTTTCTACGATGAAGTCAGGAGGCGTCGGCCAGACGGCCTCATTACGCAGACTTGTGCTCAAATGTTGTATTTAACCACCAGAGGATCCTTATCAGTCACATTTAACTCATCAGGCTGGGCTACAGAGCCTGTGTTTGCAGGAAATTAGCTTTAAGTGAGCAGCTGAATTCACAGATGTTGTTGGTTTTTATTAGATTAGAGCAACAAAACCAGGCGGGTTCCGGGTGATGATCTGTGGCCTTAATGTGCTGATTTGTGGTCGTAATTTGACCAAAGAAGCAGAAAATGTGTGGATTAAAGCAGCTTTACGGGGAGCTCAGCTGTGCTAACAGAGACTGACTCAGTGCTGCTTTTACAAACAGGTGCAGGCCGTCTTTTGTGGTTATTTTTTGTGGTTTCTGGCCTCTTTTGTGCACGTGTGCAGCATTGGAGTCCAGCTGAGTCTGTAAAAACACAGCACTAAGCTCAGTTTTGCACGTTATCTCATAAAAAAAAAACATTTTTCGGTTTTATTGTCATGTTTGAAAAGAGGGAGCCTGTAGCCCAGCTTTCCTCCAACAAATCTTTACTCCTTCTTGTGCTTTTCTGTAGGAAACTGATTTAAAAAATGGCCGTCCGGCACGTCAGCCCCCTGAAAACTTCACCTTTCCTACAGATCTAACATCAGTGTGCTTATACTCAAGACAACACAGTGGCACAGATTCCTACCAAAACACAGTTTGCAGTCAGGCTGTAGTTTTTCTTCTCTCGTTACATTCTGGATATTTATAAAGAACATTTACTATCAGTACATTTAAAAGAGCCGTCTACACAAACCCATGGAACATAGATCCAAACCGAGGAGACCAGAAAAAGGTATTTACAATCAAAATGCCAACCACGAAGAAATAAAAGCTACTTTTGCACATCGATTTTGCTAAAACTACCGTATTTTTTTCCCCCCCAAGAACACAGTAGAAAAAACATGACCCTGACAAATAAAAACTGGTGGTGTGTCTTATACTGTGGGTACATCCAAGTTAAGGTTTAGTTTGACCCTGCCCTGTGCTTGTAGCAGCCAAACCTGAGTCAGACCCCCCCGAATCCTCTCCGCTTACAGTCGATGATTGGATCTGAGTACCAAAAGGGAAAGGATTTCCTCAGTGGGACTCTGGTCTGAGATCAGAAACAGCTTAGCGTCTGGACAAAACAAAACCATGAGCGATGGAGTCAAACTTTGGCTTGAAAATAAAGTAGAATTAGCCTCAGAGACACACACACATCGCAGACCCTGATAGTGGAGCAATTCCCAATAACATTCCCAATAACCGGGAGGCCCCCCCCCCCACGACCCATCGGAGGAAAAGAAATGTAAACAAAACCCGCTTAAAAACGCTTTTTCCTGCTCGATAGATGTGACACAGAAGGCAAAACTGAAGGTTTCTGAGCCCAGTCCCACTCCCCTTTCCTTTGCATAGCTGTGGGTGTGAAGCCATACAACAGGGCTGTCTTCCAGAGGGGGGGGGGTAAGGCTCTGGATATCCGGGGGGGGGGGGGGGGGGGGGGGGGTTTAGTTTGGAGCACAGAGACCCGACCGGCGCGGCGGGGTGAACCAACGGAAACTAAATGATACCTGCACTTTGTTTGTGGCTGCGTGGTCGAGTCCCTGCTATTTGGTTGTGTCCGTTAAACCTGATCTCTGATTGGCTAAAGCTCTGGATGCAGAGAGGGGGGGGGTGAAGGAGTGGGGGGTGTTTGGGGCAAAAACAAAAGAAAAAACGGTGGGTGTTTGGGGCAAAAACTGAGGAAAAAACGGTGGCTGTTTTGGGCAAAAAAAAGAAAAAAACGGTGAGTGTTTTGGGCAAAAACTAAGGAAAAAATGGGGGTGTTTTGGGCAAAAACAAAGGAAAAAGGGGTGTGTTTGGGGCAAAAACAAAGGAAATTACGGGGGTGTTTTGGACAAAAACAAAGGAAAAAAGGGGTGTGTTTGGGGCAAAAACAACCCCAAAAAAAGGAAGTAAAACCTCCAAAGCCTTTTATATTTGTGCATTTTT